AACCCAAGTGAAAATAGAACTAGGAGAGTGAAGGGAGAACACAAATTCTAGAGGGGAAAAAAAAAAAATTGTAAAAAAAAAAAAAAGAAAGAAAGTAAAGCTTAGAGAGAGAAAAGTGTATGTTGTTTATAGTGACCAAAATTTAGAGAATAATAATAATAAATGAAACTAAAATGTGAAAAACAGAGAAGCTACTGGGAGATAAAAGAGGCAGAGAAAAGATTCTGAAAGAAGGGCCAGCAAAAAATTAATTGAGAGAATTGGAATAGGATAATAGCTGAAAATGAAAAAATAAAAATACAATGAAGAGAATAAGAGAAACTAAGCATCGAACAAAAAAACAGGAAGACAGGAGAGAAAAACAAAAGAAATAAAAGAAGAAGAAAAAAGAAAAGGGAAAAAAAAATTATGCTAGTGGATTGAGAGGGGAGAAAGAGAGATAAGGCCTGGGCAGGGAGGGAGTCCAATAAGAGATTTGGGAAAACTATGGAGAAGAGCAATAAACTTGTTTGTTATAATGATAAAGTCCCAGCAATTAAGCAGGAATATCAAGAAAGTCTTGATAGTAGAAGCAAAGATAAAACAAAACAAAGCAAATAAAACAAAACAGAGAAAACAAAAAACAAACTAAGGAAAAGAAAATTCTTTAAAAAATGAAAAAAAAAAAAGTTAAAGTTTTTTGTTTAATTATAAAATTTAAAAAGAAGAAAATTTTTTTTCCCTTTCTCTTCTTCCTAAGAGAAAATGAAATGAAAAAGAGAGTCAATCAGGTGAGTTTCTTCTGGGCAGCTTATGGTTTCTGCGGGTCACTGTTGTGTACGCTGATTTCCATTCTCCTGGGAGGTACTTGTGTATCAGCCAATGTGAAGAGCTGTCTAGGTTTGGCTCTAGTGTCCTTAGGTAGATGGTTCGTCTGAGATTCTCTCTGGACCACCTTTTCTTGTCAGCTATTTTGCAACCTTGTAGTTGTCTGGTCTTACTCCAGAGTCTTCTGTAGAGCCTTTAGGGTGCACTATGGCTAGTGTAGTTCAGGGTATTACTCCCCTTACTTAGAGGTTTTGCTGTCAAGCACTGAACTATGAGGGAGTTAGTCTCTGCTCCACAGCCAGCTCCTCCTTCTCTACCCTATCAGATTCTAGCTCCCCATGCACTGGCCTGCTGCAGTTTCCACCTGATTTCAGCCTGTTGCCTTTTCTGTGTGGGCCATTTCAACAGCCTTGGCTCAGTGGGTTTTATTAAAAAACATTTCGGTGAGCCCTTTGCCTCCCAGCCCCAAGCAGGGGTTTTCATCTTTTCTCCAGTTCCCAAACAATAGCCCTTTCGTGGCTTATTCTTGTAATGTCCTCCTGTGAGCTGTTCTCCCTTCCCTGTCAGGACTGTGCCTTGCAGGGGTACCTGGGGCCTCAGTAAGCTGGTCTAGCCCCTTTCCGGTTAGGGCTGGTACTCCCAGGCTGCCAGAGAGGCAGGTGCGCTCCTCCTCTCCCTTCCCAGATCTGGTTGGTCGCACCAGGCACGCCCCTCAGTCTACTGTGCAGACCCCAATCCCAGCTTTCCCTGGTGTGTCCTACCAGTGCATGCCGGGAAGATGGGAGCCAATTCAGCGATCCAAAACTCAAAAATGCACAAAGTAGCACACAAGCAGAGAGTCCCCCCTGCAAGGTCCCTCCACCTGCGTGCCAAGGCACCCAGCTGGAGGGGACCCAAAGTTAGCTCCACACAGCTCCCGTGCCCCTCTGATCTCAGTAAAGCTGGGGCGGTTCCCTCAGGACTGGTCAGAAATTCCAGACTCTCCACCAGGAGGGAGCTCAGGGTGTGAGGGCTCTCCTGCCCTTTTTCTTGCCACACAGATTAAATGCTTTCTGGGGCTCAACACAACGCCTTACAAGAAGACAGGGTCCCTGTGTGTGGCTGCTTAGTGCAGACCTCTGGTCCCTTTCTACTTGGGTACTGCACACTTTGGGACAGCCTTTCCGATGGTCAGCACCCTGAGCATTAGATGCCAGTCACAGCCACCATTAGAAGCTTTGTTTCACTAGTATTGCCCCTTCCCCTCCTTGTGGGCACACAGCTCTCCTGGGTCCCTCTGCCCTCTTCAGGGGGCACTTCTTCCCATCTCTGCTCTGGGTATAAGATCCCCGCTTTTGGAAGCTGGTCCGCACTCCTAAGGGGAGGGAACTTTGCAGCCTCCAAGCCTCTGAGCTCGGAGCCCAGCAAGGTTTTAGGGCATCTTCCCCTTTCTACGCTGCCCCTCTTACCGGACTCTGATATTTCTTCAATGCTCCCTCCTCGCAATATGTCCACTCAAGTATGTTTATCTGGTTTTTCCAAGCTGGTTATGTAATATTTTAGGAGTAAATCAAGTCCGTGGCTGGGAGCAGGGGTGCTCTGCTTCTTCTCACAATGCCGCCATCTTCCCTCCTCTTAGTTTTCCATTTTTTGTGTGTGTAACTTTGCTCTAAGAGTGACTACAGCAGTGGCAGAGGCAAGCCTGGGTGGCTAAAACTCAGGGGGGAAAAAACAAAAAAACAGACTTTCAAGTCAAAGGCACATTGGGAAAGAGCCCTGGTTCAACCAAGGCTGCTGGAAAGTGAGAGGCAAACCTCAGAAAGGGGAGAGCCAGAGAAGAATGCCTAATTCTCTGTTCCAATTCAGCACTGGTCTTCATTTGTCTCATCAACCATGGGTGTACAAAGCAAACTAAAACTGGTTTTTGCAAGTAAGGCTTAAGGAACTGAACTGGGATCTAAGACATGGCCAACTGCAGGTATCAGTGTACAGATTGAGTCTAATCAAGCTAATTAATTGCTAAAGAAACATCAACACTCTTAGGAGGAATATCAAAGCATACTGAGTCTACACAATCTAACATGCACAGTATACAGGATATATTAAAAATGATTATATATATACAAAAAGCTAGAAAATGTTATTCTCAAGGGAAAAGACAACATCTGTCAACCTTGAAGTGACCCAAACGCTACAATTATCAGGCAAGAATTTCAGTGAGGTAAAGAAAAAATGCTAATAATAAATAAAATAATAGGAAATCTCATTAAAAAATTTTTTTAATGTGGAAAAAACACACAAATGAGCCCTGGCCAGTGTGGCTCAGTTAGGTGAGTGCTGTGCCATACACTGAGAGATCCCTGATTCAGTTTCCTATCAGGACCCGGCTTACGGGCTCCTTCCCCAGTAGGGGGTATGCAGGAGGCAGCTGATCAATGTTTCTCTATCATTGATGTTTCTCTCTCTCCCTCTCCCTTCTTCTCTCTCTAAAATCAATAAAAACATATTTTAAAAAACAGCAACAATGAAAATTTGGTTCTCTTTTCAAAGTATCTTCGTCCTATCTCCTCATGTCTATTTCTGTTGCCTGTGGTTTGGTTCTGGTGCTCACCATTTTGCATCTATACTATTACTGTGTCCTCCTGCCGTTAGTCTGATTTATGCAATCTACTATCCAACATTATTTTTCCCGAATTCAAACCTTTGACCACATTTTTGCATTGCTTAAAACCCATCATTGATTTCCCAGTCCTTCAGGATAAACTCCCAACTTTTTAGCAGCCTACACAGAGTACATCTGCTGCCTGGCTCTCTTCCACATAGGCAGGCAGCTCACATTATCTATACTGAATGCTTGCAGTTCCCCAAATCATCAGCTTCCCCAGGCCCCTCTGCCTTTAATATAAGCCCTCCTGCCCGGCCGGGCATGGCTCAGCGGTTAAGCGTCGACCTAGGATCCAGGCGATCAGGGTTCGATTCCCGGTCAGGGCACATGCCCAGGTTGCGGGCTGCATCCAATCAATGACTCTCTCATCATTGATGTTTCTAGCTCTCTCTCTCTCCTTTCCTCTCTCTGAAATCAATAAAGATATATTAAATATATATATATATATAAGCCCTCCTAGCCCCACTGTATGTCAAGTGGTTCCTAGCTATTTGTCTTTTGAAATTCAGTTCAAGCAACACCTTTTGGTTTTCAGTCCTCTCAGTATAAGTTGAAGGTCTCTCTCATGATCCCATAGCACTCTGTAGAGCACTGATATCACTATAACTTGTTTTCTCTTGTGACTAGATTGCAAGTTCCTCAAAGGGCTAGAGATGACATTTAGAAATTTATCAAATAAGGGTCATTGATTGAAATTTGTATGAACCAAAGCCATCCATCTTCATTCTGTGTATAATCATAATTGAAACATATATAATGTACTTAAATTTTAGATTTTAAGTGTTTACTGAAGCCCAGTCAATATTTTCACACACAAAAACCCATAACTAAAGTCTGTAGTCTTACATAACCTAACCAGTGATTATATCTCATTGTAGAACAGTTTTTCAATCTTAGCACTATTGACACTTTAGTTCTTTGTTGTGGGGGATTGTCCTGTAGGACGTTTATCATTATATCCATCCTCTACCCTTTAAATGCTAGTAACAAAACTTTGGCTCCTCCCAGTTGTAACAATCAAACAGTGTCTCCAAACATTTTCAGATGAGGGAGCAAAATTCCCTCAGTTGAGAATCACTGCTATAAAATTCTAAATAGAAACCCAATTCATGAAATGCCTAACTGTTCTGCCCTTTAAGAATCACCAGTATATTTATTATATTCACTCTGATTACCAGCATATGGTGTTGTTCCGGTTTTGAAGAATCAGATTTGGTCTTGCCTCACTCTTTTCAGGAATTAGAACACAACTAAAAGGTGTGTTCAATTGATCTTTACTTCATAGTGGCACTACTCCTCTCCTTTTCTAAAATGAGAGGAGTGGGGGAGTTGAGATTTTCCAGTGCCATGTTCTACAAATATTAAGCTTTAAAAATCATTTCTGATAGCAGTTAGAGAGAGGAGCAGACTTCTGTTGAGTAATAATTAAACTGTATGTAGTTTGGATTTTATATAATATGAAAACATTTAGTCAAAACGCTTCTCACTTGTCAGATTTCTTTGTGTTAGTTTTCTTAACTTTTGTATTTCTGTCCTTTTTTCTTTTCAGACAATCTATGTTCTTATGGGAAATGCTGTGCAACCCTTACTGACTTCAGTGGGAGATGCTATAGAGGCCATAATCATCACCATGCATCAAGAAGATTTTTCTGGGTAATCACTTTAAACCAAAATTTTCACTAGCCTTTATTGCACTTGTTTTCCATTCCCTCATCCACTACCACTCCCTAAAGTCTCCTAATATCTAGGTTTGTTCCCCTTGTGACAGGGTTCCAACCTTATTCTACTCTATTGACTGTGAGGACCATTAGCAGATGAAATTTTTTCAATTCTTATTTTCATCATTTCTCTCCTATCATTGAAAAAGAATCATTAATCAATAATGATTAATTATTAAGGACTCAGCTTGGCACTTCAGCACTTTTGGTAGTATGTGCCTTCTTCCCTTTCCAGTTTTATCTTTTTCTTTACTTCTCACAAACACCGTGTACTTGAGTTCTGGCACAGGAATGGTATTCCTTGTGTAAAATCCAAATCCTTCTCTGGCTTTGAGGTCAGGCTCCTCCCAACCCCTCCCAGAGGGATTTTCCTTTCTCAGATTTTTGTGGCAATCTAATCTGGTCATATCACACCTAACCCATAAACATTTTGGTATTATTCCATAGCTATTTCATATGTGTATTGCTTATCCATATCATATGATCTTGAGAATAAGAATCAGATTTCCAAGATTAAAGATGGCAGTGGACTGAGTGGAAGCTGCACTGACACTCTCTCAGAACCAAACTGGAATTACAACTAAAATATAGAAACACCATCGTGAATAATCAAATACAAATGAAGACAAGCTGGAGAGCACCCTCATAACCAAGGACCTAAATCGGAGACCGTATAGAGACCGGTAGAAAGTGTGGAGGCGCGAGAGGGCTGACTGGACTCCCACAGGCAGCAGCTGAAGATCCGGAGGGATATCTCAGCTGTGGGGGGTTTCCACTGAAGACTCTGGGATCTAAACCCCAGGCTGGGTTTCCCAGCCAAGAGCACCAAAATTGAGAAAGGTGCCGATATTACATCTGGCTGTGAAAAACAGCCAGATTTCTGTCTGCCAGGGAGAGATGGCTGGAACTTCAGGCACCATCTTAAAGAGCCAACACACAGAGTTTTGGGTGCAGCCACTCACCTTGGGCTTCAGCAGAGGGAGGGCAGAGTGGACAGGAGCTGTGTGAGGAGAATCTAGGGTTGTGGGCTCTGGAGATAGAGATCAGAAGGCACCCATCTGGATTCCCATACCGAGTCATTCCCCCATACTGCAGAGGACATCTTTCTCAGGTAGACATTTTGCTGCTTTTGCATGGGGGTGGGGGGGACAGTTGCCCCACCCTGCTGGAAAATCTGTCGCCCTACCAGAGGAGTTTCTATAGCCTGAGGCTAATTAAGAGAATCCGATTAATCAGCCTGCAGTCAGAGGTAGACCTCAGAGTGCTTTGAGTCTTTGCCTGATCTACTTCTGGACCCAGGCCTTGGAAAAGCAGACTTTGATGTGCATCTTGGTCCTGTCCAGCAGCACCCAGCCACAGCAGAGGAGTCCTCAAGCTGAGGGTTGTTGATAGCTCCAAACAGGGTACTCAGGGACAGTGACAAACTGTGTCTGACATCTGCCTGCACCAGAGACCCTCCAAAAAGACTGAGAGACCTAGCAGATCTACCTAATACATAGAAACAAAGCCAAACAGGCAGCCAAAATGGGGAAACAAGCCCCAAATGAAAGAACAAGAGAAGTCTCCAGAAAAAGAGCTATATGAAATGGAGATAAGTAATCTAACAAATGTAGAGTTCAGAATACTGATTGTAAGGATGCTCAACAGCATGAAAAAAGATAATGGGAACTATGAAGGAAATTAAGAATGCCATAGCAGAAATAAAGAATACATTGGAAGGAATAAACAGCAGATTAGAGGAAGATGAGGATCGGATCAGCAAATTAGAAGACAGGGTAGAAAAAAATCAATCAGAGAACGAAAAAGAAAAAACAAAAAACAGGAGGAAACTGTAAGGGAGCTGTGGAACAACATGAAATATAACAGTATTCACATTATAGGAATGCCAGAAGGGGAAGAGAATAAGCAGGGGTGTAGAGAGTTTGTTTGAAGAAATAATGGCAGAAAACTTCCCTAACCTGGTCAAGGAAAACGTCACACAAGTTAGGAGGCACAGAGAGTCCCAAGCAAGAAGAATCCAAAGAGGCCCACGCCCAGACACATAATTAAAATGCCAAGAATTCAAGACAAAGAGAGAATCTTAAAGGCAGCTAGAGAAAAGCAATCTTACCTACAAAGGAGCTCTCATACTGCTCCCATGTCAGCTGACTTCTCATCAGAAACACTACAGGCCAAGAGGGAATGGTATGAAGTATTCAAGGTAATGCAAAACAGCAATCTGAAATTAAGACTATTCTATCCAGCAAGACTATTATTCAAGATAGATGGTGAAATAAAGAGCTTCCCAGATAAAAAAAAGGCAAAGGAATTTTTCACCACCAAACCAGCATTGCAAGAAATGTTAAAGGGACTGCTGTAATTAGAAGTGGAAGTAGAGAGAGAAACATAGGCATAAAGAATTAAAATGGCAATAGATAAGTACCTATCAATAATAACCTTTAATGTAAATGGGTTAAATGCTCCAATAAAAAGATATAGGGTGCCTGAATGGATAAGAAAACATGACCCAAATATATGCTGTCTACAAGAGACCCACCTCAGAACAAAAGACTCACACAGGATGAGAGTGAAGGGATGGAAAAAATTTTTCCATACAAATGGAAATTTTAAAAAATCTGGGGTATCAATACTCATATCTGACAAAATAGACTTCACAGTGAAGACTATAATGAGAGACAAGAAAAGTCACTACATAATACTAAAAGAATGGATCTAACGAGAGGATATAACCCTGATAAACATATATGCACCCAATATAGAAGAACCTAAACTTATAAAAAAAAAAAACTTATAGAGGACTTTAAGGGTGTGATCAACAGCAGTACAGTCATAGTAGGAGACTTTAACACCCCACTGATTTCACTGGGTAGGTCTTCCAGACAAAAAATCAACAAGGAAACTGACCCTAAAATGATTATGATAAGTAAAATTAGGCAGTCAAAGAAAGACAAGTACCACATGATCTCACTCATGTGGAATGTAATAAACAAAATAAACTGATAAACAAAATAGATCCAGAGACATAGACTGAAGAATCTCAGAGGGAAGGTAGGGATGGGGGAGTGGGTGGGGAGAGATTAATCAAAGAACTTATATGTTTATAAGCATAACCCATGGACATAGACATCACTATGGGGAAGGTCTGGGGGTGGGGTGGATGCGGGGTAGAGGAGGCCAGTGGGGATATTGGGGGCCATCTGTAATACTTTCAACAATAAAGATAAGTTAAAAAAAAAAAAAAAAAAAAGGCATCAAATTAAAAAAGAATNAAAAAAAAAAAAGGATCAAATTTTCTAAACCAGTGTTTACTGCACTCTTTTTAAGAAGAGTAAAATGGTTTTGACTCAGTAGATTAGAAAACCTTTTATGGAGAATTTGGAATAGTTATTGTCTATGTAAGAAATGTCCAAACCTATAGAGAATTTTTATAAAAATTTATTTGAGCCAAACAGAGGATATACCTGGAAGCAAGATCTCAAGAGATAGATAAATGCNTTTATTTGAGCCAAACAGAGGATATACCTGGAAGCAAGATCTCAACAGATAGATAAATGTTCCCAAGAATAACAGTTTACAGTTTCTTTTATGGTTTGAAATTAAGGAGGGAACACAAAGAAGATTACATGAAGGTGGAAGTAAGCAACATGGGGATGGGATTACGGGGTAGTTAATATTATATGCTCTCTTGAGGGGTCTGAAAGGAAGCATTTCAAAGATGTGTTAACCTAGATATACAGAAACAGGCAGGGTTTGCTTAAAGCAAAGGTAAACCTCTAACTAAAGTTATAAACTGGCAGGGCATGACTAACCACCATAATCTGCCCAATCAGGAATTTATGATCATTTCACCCTGTGATACTATGGAAAGTAGTCTATACTACTTTCCATAGGACCCCTTTTCTCATCCACATAATTTACACATCCTTAGGGTGATTTAAAAAAAAAAAACCCAAAACAACAAAACAGAATTTAACCACTCTAGAGTTAAACATTTAAATATTCAAATCATTTATCATTTCATTTACAAAGTATTTTTTGAAGGGTGAAAGGTCAGTCTCTATTTTTACTGACAGGAAGCACAGAAGGGTGAAGTGGATTCTACACAAAAGTACTATAATATTTGGATAAAGGAATATAAAATTGCTGATACTACTATTTGGGAGGAAATGAACTTTGTTTAAAATTGATCTGAAAGGTTCCAGTTAGACCAATCATCAGTGCCTATGAAAAGTAAGCAAAAATGAGGAGGTTTTAAAGACTTGTTTTATAAGATTGGTCAGATACTTACTTCAATAATTATATTGGTGAGTCAAACTAGTGCCTAAGATAACGCATTGGACATTGAAAGTTGGTTTCCCAAGTAGGTATTCTCTTACTAGTTTGCCTAAGTACTAGTGAGCCAGATTGGTTCTTCTTTTTTTTTTAATTTTATTGTTGAAAGTGTTATAGGTGTCCCATTTTTTCCCCCATTGACCCCCTCCACCTTGCTCCCACCCCCTCCCCAAGCCTTCACTCCATTATTGTCTGTGTCCATGAGTTATGCATATATGCATATAACTTCTTTGGTTAATCTCTTCCCACCCTCCACCCCCCTTTCCTCTTCCCTCTGAAATATGACCGTCTGTTGCATGCGTCAATGTCTCTGGATCTATTTAGTTTGCCGGATTCTTTTGTTCATTAGCTTCTTAAAGAAGACCCTTCAACATTTCATGTAGTAATGGTCTGCTGGTGATGAACTCCTTTAGGTTTTTCCTATTTGTGAAGCTCTTTATCTGACCTTCAGTTCTAAATGATAGCTTTGCTCAGTAGAGCAATCTTGGTTGTAGGTTCTTGTTTATCATCACTGAAAATTTCTTGCCACTCCCTTCTGGCCTGCAAAGTTTCTGTTGAGAAATCAGCTGACAGTAGTATGGGTGTTCCCTTGTAGGTAACTAA